CTGTAGGTATGTGAGCCGTCGAACATGTTCTTCGTCATCCACAATCGACGGCGGCGCTTGTCGATCCTTAAGGCAGAGAATATAATAAGCGATCCGAATCGCGTTCGTCGTGGCCGCAGTCAGGGAAGAGCGGGAGGTTTTTCTGACAGGAACAAAATGAGTCTCTATTAGTGCGCCCGAGTATCTTCCACATCAAAACACAGTCCGTCATCTCCTTCCGCGTTCTTCGTCCTGACATCTCAAAATTGGACGTGTCCTATATGAACGATTGTGGGGGAGAGTCTCACGCGAGCGGGAGCAGTATCGGACGTCACTCGTTGTCATGTGTTGAAGCCCGCACCGAGAACGGAGGGTTCTGCGGTGTAAGCTCCAAGCTTGTCGACCACGACGACTCCCTCCCCGGTTCCGCCGAATCCGATGGGGGAAATCCCGTCTCGATACGACCGCGAATCCTTCACCGAAAGTGCGCGACTAGCAGTTCTCGGCCGGAATTCGATAGTATCATGATCCGAGGTCCGCAGTGAACTTCAGACGTCGACGAAAGAGTATTCCTGCAGATCATGATCGTCGGCCTTAATGCGCTATGGATCGAAGCAGGCAGCTACGTAGACACTGACTGGCGGGTGGGCTGCTCGGTGGGTTCGCGGGCCGGTTGGCAGCGGGGCGAGCTGCTTGTACGATGCGTGTAGGCATCCATTGCACTAAGCAGCTTTGGATGGAAGTAGACGATGGTCGATGAGAGGCGAATTTCGAAGGTAGTAGTAGTGGCGGTGGTAGGAGTAACCAATCTACGCTCTCGAATTGGTCACGCCATGGCCATCTCGACATGCCTGTTCAGGAGAACGAGCAGCTCACGATAGCGACAGCAACTGCAACAAAATGGGGGCGTATTCAGAGATTCATTCAGACTATCCCGTATGCACCTTGATAGAAATCGAGGCTTTCACTTATTCATGGAGGCCTGGATTTATGCGCGAGTCCTCCGGTCAAGATTCGATACGGGGGAATCGAATGAACTCGTCTCTATCAATACGTGTCGTCAAATCGTATCAATACTGATTATTGCGAATATAGTGACCGAGGTTGAATATAATATTATGTTGACTGCGGTTCCTTCGCTGACTTTGGAGGGAGCCGCATCCGGTTCACTGCTTGGAATAGAGAGGAAAACTTCTCGTCTTCTCCCTCACGTAGACGCTCGCTAAAACCATGAAAGGCTCCGTTAGAGAGAAAAATACTCGTCTTGACATGCTGGCGTAGAGTTCGACAGGGCAAGACAATTCAATTTCCTCTCGGGAAGAAAAAAGGCCCGCGCTGTAAAAACAGATTTCCCAAAGTCGGCGAACGAAGACGACGACGCATCGAGACGAACCGGCAGAAGCACAGCCCCGAAAGCAGCGGCGCAGGAGGTCCGAACGGACTGAAGAACCGACGTGACAAGACTGAACCGGGATTAGTGTCCGTTGCTCTGAGAGAAGCAAACAGAGCTCCTGGCAACCATTTCAAGATGGACCGGCGGCCGTGATCGGAATCGCTTAGACGCCTGTGAACGAAGCGACAAAAGAGTCAATGACTTTGTGCCACGTAGATCATAATCATTGTCACCTCGCCATCTACCGTGCTTAAGTGTTTTATTTTCGCCACGTAAACATTTCGAGCGATATACTGGCGGGGCGACTTTCGCTGCTTATCTTTTCCCCCAACATTCTGTACATTGTCCTCAGAGTTAGGCTGACGGTGTTGCGGTCTGCGTGAGCTCTGACCCTTCGACACGGCAGCAGCGACTCCATTCTTCTTCCCGCGCTGGCGATGCGTGACGCCGACACGCTCCTCGAACAGTGGGAGATGATGGACTCAGCCCCGGATCAGGTAGAAGTCTCTCTCTCTCCCTTGCCCTCTCATTCAGCACGAAGACCGGACTGAACTCTTGCGGGAGTGGATTGAGTTGTGGTTTCCCTCTAGTTGTTCTGCTCCCTTTGAGGGAACACATCTCGCGAAAACTCGTTTGGTCGCAATCGCGAATCGTTTCGTAGACTCTCGTAGGCAATGACTTCCAAAAGTATTTGCAATGGAATCGGAATCGGCTTCGCCTCGCTCACTCGCTGCGGAGATGCTCGCCTTGGATTCTGCAATCAAGCCGATGGATAGGACAGATCCCTGAGGGTGTGGTCGATCTATGAAATCACGGCTTCTTCCGAAGGATGTTTAGAAGAAAAACATGAGGCGCTCTAATCGCGGGAACCGCTCGCAGAAATACTCCCTGAGATCGACAGCGAGTTCTCCCCAAAGCGCCGCGAACGATGTCAATGAGGTGGGTGCGCACTCATTTAAAAGTCTTAAGAATTCAACGCGGGGAAACGTATGAACTCTGATCACGCGATGTGCGTTGCTACTTCCACTGAGAGGATTCATTTAAACATCTCCATCGTTCATCAAGAGAATTTTTTCTCCGTACCATCGTCCGAGCGGAGATTGATTGGACATAAGAAACAGAGGAAATGCAACAGACTCTCGTTTTCTCCGCAGACGAGAACGCGCAGGTCGGATTCCCGAGTATTCCGGGCATCGAGGAATGTACAAACCTCCTCGATACACCGGGCTGAAATCAAAAATGAAGTCAGGATGAGAGAGACGTATCGGGGAAACAGACAGAAACGAAGAGGAAGAAAAATGTAACGACCCGACGTGGAACATCTCTTCTGCAGTTAGAGCGAGCCTGAGACAGAGGAGCCGATGTCTAATAAAGACGAATGGGGTCCCCTAGGACCATAGTTGTCTCCCGACTGAGCTGAGAGAGGGAGCCTGAAAGCCTTTTACTGTTAATGGCTACCGAGAAATAAAAGTCCTCCTACAACCTTTGACACACTTCGACTCTGAATCCGACTCCTCGGTGGAAGCCCCGTCCACGGATATGATCGTTCCCTTATTTATTCGGAGCAAAGTACCCGAAACCTCCGGTGTCTGCGATCGAGCTGAAGTTTCGGCGGATTCCAATCGGAAAGATCAAACAGCAAGCCGCTGTATGAACTACAACCTCGGCAACTCTGAAGAGCCCTCACGTTCAAGTAGACCCTGCCCCGCCTTCGGAAAGCACAGCGTCAGACCCTTCGGCTGCGCTCCCGAAACTCACCACGGTCGGAGGCGGCACGTAGAGCCTCGAAAGAGTGTTGATGAGCCTTGGAGTGCCCTCCAAGGAATGCAGCGGACCCTAGAGCTGCTCTCTCGATAACTAGCTTCGACGAATGAGCGTGCCGAGTTCACTGGGGGGACGAGATTCCATCGGATCTGCAACTCTGTAGCCAGCTGTGAAAAAATCATCGGGCAATACCCGTAAAAAACGCAGGCCTGAAATTAGAAACAAACTTTTGCAGACAAACTATCTCACTTGTCACTTATACGAATGGATCAATCAATATCAATATAACTATTTCAATGATTTCGTAAATGATACTCGAGATACGTGACTGAAGCCGATACGAAGAAATGAATTACAAAGTAGAACGGCGCTGTCGGAGCATTGGATGGTACGCGGAGGGAACGGAAGAGAACTTGTGCTTGCGATTCCTTTGCGGTTCTTTGTCCTGTTGCAGTATCTCCGGTTTGTCCATCGAGCAACTTGTTTGAATTGCATTGAGAATCGAATCGCTGCTCGCAACTTCCTGAACAGAGGAAATCCCTTAAGGCGCGAGTCACGGACACAGAAGAGGAAAAAACCCGCTCGCTCCTTGCGTTCTCGTCTCGATCCGAGCGCGTTTGCTTGCCTAAGGTCGGGAAATTCGATTTGTCGCTTGACGAGCCCCTTTCGGAGCTTACGGAGACGGTGGTCTCGACAACTGACCGCTGACATTCGGATTGGGTATGCGTAGAGCGTCGCGCGACGGATTTCGAATCTTCTTCAGCCCGAAAAGGACAAGCGCCCATGAGAGAAAACAATCGCGACCGGCTTGAGCTTACGCGGAGTGGAATTCGATCTGTTTTTCGAGTGATCAATGTTCACCAAGAGCAGGTTCTCTATGGATGCATCCGAGTTTCACATTGATCGCTGCCTCAGCGGATGGCTCCAGATCACGACTCGCATGCCAAACTCTCATCTAGTTGTTTCGGCCACGCACCATATTTCCCTGAGAGCGGGAAGACTGCTCTTCTCAACTGTGCATCAAAAATCAAAGGGGTGGCTCTCTCTCGAGATATTTGGCTACTTGAATTAGAATTCAAAGAATTAGCGAAACGAACCGTAACTCGATATTTCGCTCGATTTCTGTCAGGCTCTAACGACTTCCTCTCGATGGCCACAGAGGGAGACATTCGGGAGCTCGATGGGATTCTGGGACAATCGAATCGAGGAGACTCTTCTGATCGGGACTTCGCTCCATTCTCCTCTGCGATCGAAACTTCGATTCATTCTCGTCTGCGATCGGAACATGATTCGTCTCCTCGCGATAAATACCGAGACCTCGAATTCTCAACGAGCGATCGCTGAGAGCGGCGCAGACCGTCCTCGGGACCCTGTCCGCATAATGGGCTGCTCTCTCAGGGTCTCCGGAACCTTTCGCTCCTGAGGGGCGGACCTTCGGGCCGAGGCTTCAAAAGGCAAAACGCAGATCCGACCTTCCCGGCTCCGGTGACCGCGCTCGAGGAGACGTCACCGAATCCTCTCCGATTCGAACGAAACGTCGATCATTGCCTCCCTGCATATGTCCACATGCAAGGATAGCGCGAGTCTCCGGAATCTTTCCCCCGTGGAGCGCGAAACTCGCTCGGGTCATCTGGCTCCACATACGGCATTGCGAAACATTGAGATTTACCACGACTCAAGCTTCGTGAGAAATTTTTGCGAAAAAGGTCTCTCGCAATCTGATGCAGGTGCGGGTGCGGGTGATGTGCCGCCACAATGGAGAATTATCGGATCATCGGATGAGCAGAAGATAGTTTTTCACCGACATATCTGATGCATTTTATTGTCTAGTGCTCGCTTACATGGAAAAAGGAACAGCTCAGATCTACCAGACTTTCCCGAGGCCAAGACCGAGACCGAGAGGAGCGGCGGAAGCGATTCCGATGGGGGCGGAAACAGCGATGGGAGAGATGGCCTTTCCAACGAGGGCTCCGTGGTTGATGGCAGACGAGTAAGAGTGAGATTGGACAGCTCCGAGGTTGACGGCGACGGGAGCGAGGACGGGGGAGGCGATGGCGACCTTAGAGATGGCGGGGGCGGCGAGCACAGCTCCGTGACCGAGGCCAAGTCCGTGACCGAGGCCGAGTCCGTGACCGAGGCCGAGTCCGTTACCGAGGGCGAGTCCGTTACCGAGGGCGAGTCCGTTACCGAGGCCCAGTCCGAGTCCGAGACCGCATCCACCGAGGCCGCAGCCTCCGATGGCGCCGGCGGAAGCGGCAGCGACGAGAACGGAGAGGACGATGAGCTGGAAATTTCATGGAGCACGTGAATTCCTCGAATACCGAGACTGTTGTTTGAGCGCTCTGAGGAGCACTCGGGGCCTGCGATTGAGTAGCGGAGCTTTACTAACGGATTGCATGATGCTATTGAGGATTTAGACTATTTTCTGACTGGGGACCCCTCCCATTTATACGTAGCGGCTGTCTCTTGGAGAATGGCTGATGCAATTCTGCGTCGTCTAACGGAAACGGTCCCTCGTTACGTAAAGTCGGGTGAAACAGAAGATCTTCTGGAGCCTCGCTTTCGCTCGGTATACATCGCCGGGGCGGCGCTTTCCGCTCCGCTGTGGTGAACAGTTCGGGCGTTTTCTTGGACGCCGCGTTCAACAATCACGGGGCGGATCGCCGGCCAAATAGTTAACGGAGTTGGCTTCGGATTCCGAGGAAGAGAGGGTTCCTCTTCATCTGATGCAAGACTCTCGTAGGATTGAGTATGGTCAGGATTCTGCAGAAAATGAGGCCTCCGTATGTTGAATACTAAGCTGGAAGCCACAGAATATCCAACCAGCCGCTCGATCTGAGCCGCGAGGGCCTTGAGAGATATGATTGAACTCACGGAGCTCCGATAATTTTTTTCATAAGGATTTGTAATCATTGGTTGCGATTCCTGCGGTAATTCTGTGGGATTCTTGCGTTTACGCGCTTGTCACCGTGAAGCCTCCGCATTATTCATGGTTTTGAGCCGATTTAAGATTCCAGAAGATTTCAGTTTCCTTTTTTCTCTGGTTCGGTCACCTTTGGTTTTAAAAATCGAGAACTAGATTTCTTGAAAATGAGGATTCCGAGAAAAACTAGCCGCCCAGCTCTATTTTCTATTCTCTGTTTCCTTCGCTCGAGTCAGCTCTTCCCTTTGACCGTCCGCCGACAATTCGGTTCTGAGATCTCGAGCGGACACTAGGGTCCTTCCGTAGCTCCCCTTGTTGCAAAGTACGCTGTTGGTACGAGAATTCATGTTTGCCCCAACGTCGACGAAAATGAATTCCTTCATCGAATCTGACCTCTGGAGCCGAGTTTCAGCGCCCCGATGTCTCTAGAGCAATCTGTCTCCAACGACAAATCTCCATAGGTTGCATCGGGTCAGACGTCGGTCCTGAGGTTTCAAATCGTAATTCTAGTTGTGATTCAAGACGTAGACAACAGGACGGACGTAGGAGGCCACGAAGTTCTGGATCGTAATTTCTGGTCGCTCTAAGGTCCGACTGTGACGACTTCTTCAGCGAGCAACCCGTAATTTGGGGTACTCTAGGTTGTGTTACTTCTCTAGAAATCGGCCTAGGTCGTGAGCCGATGCTCGTTTGCCATCGGGATTCGGCAATATGATCAATTAGCCTCCACCTGATCAAGATTTAGATCCAAGCTAATCGGTACTTATCTCCGTAAACTCTCATGTAGGATGGGACCGACGCGACGGGTCTTCTCAGGAATACTTGACATAGATTCCTGACATATCGAATTCTGCTGCACGAAGTGCATATGTGTGCACCTCGAATCTGAGCGATTGAATCGATGGAACTTCCATCCTGGTAATATCCGTCAGGCGTGCATGAGCAAAAAGCAGTGCGAATGTCGAGTAGCTATCGACGGAGCCTCTTTCGACCAGCACAAACCTATAAACTCTTCCAGATTGGGAAGCTTGGACACCATATGTCTTCGGGCGACAATGGGGGCTCGAATGGCAGAGCTATTGGATGTTGTTGGCCGGCCGGTTGGTCGGTCGGCCTCGTTTTTGCAATCGGAGAGATAGCCTCCCTCATTGTGTAGGGTTCGCTGGCTGGCTGCTCCCGGACTTTGCTGATCTCGGGGGAATCGTCGACGGTCGGGTCGGTCGTCAGATGAAGAAGAGAAATAAGAAATGGAACGTACGAAGGAAGTAGAACCGGAAGTTCGTATCTGATCACCAAGGCGGGAAAATTCGAACAGGCGTGAAGAGAGATGAGATTGGCAGCCGCGACGGCGGCACCGACCCCACATGAAATGGGAAATACACCGATCGGGTGTCACAAGGCGGCTCGCAGACCATCGATGCCTCTCCGGGTGAGTACAGTTGAGGGACGTGGCGGGGCTCTGATCAGGAGTGCGATTCTGGACTGGGTAAGGAGAGGGAAATTCCTCTTTCTTTCTCTATCCGCTCCAGCTGATCCAAGGTTATCGACGTGTGCTATCGCTAACAGCAGGAACGAACCAGTGCTGAAAGGAAAAAAGGCAACAGATCTCCTGCTCAGCGGAGTCCATTAATCTCGCCTCCTTCGTTGCTCCGCCGTGAAGCTTGGTTATGGTCCCAAGGAGGCCATCCGTACTGAGTTATAAGAGGCCCCCAAAACGCTCTCGACCCAACGAGTCTTCGGGCGAAAAGGGTAGCTCGCTTCACTACTAGCTGCTGGGTCTCATGACCACTTTACCGACTACAGGACTTCCTCGGTGCGTCGCACGCTCGTTTTTAAAAACTTACAGCCCATCCCTGTATATCATCTTCCGAATGGAGACGAGAAAGGACTTTATCTGCCGAATACGTTTTTTCGATCAGTCGTAAACCGTGGTACCTAGTCTCGGGACGACGCGAATCGTGGGAACAGGGACTTCCAATCGAGCGAGTCGATCTCCGCCATTGACTCTCGAATCCATTCATGACCGTAGCTCCTGGAGCCGTCAATCCACGCTGCATGTACGTATTTTCCGCCGGAGGTCTTGATGCACGTGTTAATGAGGTCTCGGTCGGACGTGACCCGAGCATAACTTGCTCTTTCCGTGCCGCCGTAGTGAGTGCTGTAACCTCTAACGCGCTCCGCAATGTTGTCACGTCACCCAAGTATCGAGGACTAAGCAAGCAACAACGGGCGGCACGCTCTACACTCCGAATCGCCAACATCGTAACGCTCCTTTCACGCGACCCGCAGCGCTCGGAAAGTCGACGAGCAGGCTAGCACACGTCTTCCCGGTGTCAGCTGGCTTTCGCTGTATTTGATGCGGGACATTAGAGCAAGAGGCTACGAACCCACTTTCTGCGGGAGCCAACTATGCGCATACATTATACACTCACTTCGGAAACTGCCTCGGAGCGTTATCCCAGAAGAAACCTGGCGCGTAATTCATTTATTCCCAGCTCCCCCACTGTCGCGGGAAAAGTAGCGGAACGCATCGCTCAAAATCGGGAGCTCTTCTCAATCTCTCGAGCCTCGGAAAATATCATTGCCGTCGAGAAAAATAGGCCAGAAACCGGAATAGCGTGCTGAGAGCGAAAACAACAACTCGGTCGGTCAGTCACAGAGGCGGGGAGCTCGAGTCTTCCGATCCCATGGAATCGAGACCGTCGTCGTGAGGATTAATGGCTGTCGGAGGACGGGCGAGACGCGGAAAGTTGCACGACACTCGGAATATGGCAGCCACAGCTCGCTCTGATTTGCCGCTCGGTTGGAAAAGGTTTTTGCTCGCTGATAGAGTTTCTCTCCGATTTCTCTTTGACTGAGTAAAGGCTGGGATAACGATTCCCTCCATCCTTTTTATGTAGTCCCTCTGCGATAAGATAAGCACTCATTGTTTTGGCGGACTGGCAGGCGGGCCGACGGTCGGTCGGGCGGGCGGGCACGCTAGCTTGCTGACTGGGAACCGACACCGTCGGGCTGACTTTTTCCACCAAAAAGACGATAAAGCTCTGGTCCGGAAGTGACATGGCGAGTCAACACTCTTATTATCAGTTCTTATTGACCCTGGCGGGACACGTATAATTCAGTGATGCTCCCGGGGCTTTGTCACTGGGAACAACACATGTCAAAGAGATACTTACTTCATTCTCGATTGATTTATCTTGTGACTGAGAACACGGGACGAACGCGGCTCTCCCTCCTAGCTCCCGATCGGAGAAAATGTTCGTACTCCACGCAGAGATTAGCAGTTCACCGGATAAGATGCTTTTGGGAGAACTCGTCGATTGGGGTCGATAAGTTTATTGGACGCTCCAAGGACAGGTTCGAGTTTCAACGATGAGTTCCTGACGAGTCACACTTCGAGACTCTTGGGGAGGCATGTGTTGATGGAATAGATCATCTCCGCTTGGATTGCGTCGCTCACAGACTCCGCAAATTGCTCAATCACAGTCTCGCCGTCATCGTTCGATGCTTTGCAGATCATCATGGCCATCTCAGAGATATCCATTCCCGGGAATTTACTGAATATGTTATCAAGCTCCGTGCGATACTGGAAAGAGACTCTTTGACTTCCTCAGCGGAGAAGAGATACGTATTCCCGTCGGTCAGAACCAGTCGCATCGCGTGAGCTCCCAATGTCAGGACGGACGCGAAGCTCAGAAAACTTTTTATCGCTCTGGGATTCAGCCCCCCCCCACGCGAAATCATGCAGTTGTACGTAAGGAACACCCGACACCTAGATTTCCACCGCCGAATGTAGACATCTAACTGTAATTACCTCTTGGGATAATTTTTCATCTTTCGTCACGCAGTCCATGAAGGCATTTAACTGTGGCGCAGTGAGTACTGCTCAAAGGGAAAAACGGATATGCTGGGTGAGGGAGCCATGGTATTCGTAAGGTCCGGTCGATCTACATTTGACAACTATAGGGATGCACTCACAGCAAATGTTTGCGTTCTCTACTTCGAGCTCCACGGATTGGCTATGATTCATACAGAAGAGCAATACGATCCACTGAACAAGCATCGTGGAGCGCAACCTGTCGCTCCTCAAACTCACGGTTTTCTGTGAATTCGGAATTCGAGTTCCGAACCATTATGGGGGAAAGCGTCACAGAATAAACTTCATTGGGTAAGCTTCTGATTACTGTGGCTAATTGAGTGAACGTCGAAGAGAAGCTTCCCAATCTACAGTCCTCTCGAACAACGTCGATTTTGTGGAATTCAGAATCATTAGTGATTCGTGTTTGTCTCTAAGCCAAGGTTTTCATTGCACAGCCGGAGCAACTGTATTCCTATGAGGCTCTCAGAGTTCAACTCCTCGCAGACTTCGGTCTAACACATTGCGAATCACGGGAGACAGCATAGTGAGACAGTTATCCGAAAAACGAGCCATTGTCCCCGATGCCATCCATTTATCAACGTACCGCCGATGTTCG